TTCAATTGCATTCCATTTTTATACTTACCATGAGAACTTCCTATGCCTATAAGATAATTTTCCTCTCATTATTGTTCTATGTATTCAGTGGAGATTGAGATGGGCCATGTAATTATCTCTCCTCAGTTCCTAACAATCCTGTGGCAGTTGCCATAATAAAAATTATTTCCCAGGGATACCAGGGATGCTACACTATATTTTGGAAGCATAATAAAGTCCCAAAATGAAGAATAATCTGTTACTATGCAGTGTACGCCTAAAAATGTAATTCCAGATTAAAATTTTCAAATGTCAATACACCTCTATAGAAAGTTAACACCACATTTAGCTTCTTGACTTGAGGGTTTATCCCATACCCTAATGCCAAACCTTTCTCTCTTCTAGTTACTTTTTGTAACTATGATCAAACCATTTAGCTAAATTATTAACTTACTTTCTCTACTTATAAAATCTGGATAACAATCATATTTGTTTGTTATTTGCTATATGTCATATGTCTACTTGTGAGTTTCGTGGTATATTCTGCTTTAAAATAAATAACCACCCAATTTCCCCTTCCATTAAGGCAAGACTTAAAATCAGTTTTTAAAACCTGAATAAACCTGCAACTTGAATTTCTTAGGATAAGTTAACATATGAAAGCTGTTACTGAAATTTTTGACAGGACTTTTAATCATTACAGATTCGTGTGATGAGTTTTACGAATGGCATTAAATAAAAGAAATATTCTTCCCTTTCTTTTAAGCCCTTGCCTTAAACTTTCCAATCTGATTAATACAGTATTTATCTCAGAGTTTTTATTCCACTGAGTGGGGTATGGGAGCAATGGAGGGAGAGTGGGGGAAGTTAAAAAGCACAATAAGGCAAAGAAATTCCTACTTTCCATGGGAATATTCCCTACAAGGGCCAAGAGAATATTGAATACTAAGTATTTTCACTGGGGATGAGACGCAAGAGTTTGCACTTAAATTGACTTTGGAGTAGAGATGCCAAAGCAAATAAATCACTGCAAGTGGAATACTTTGAAAGGTAAATGGGTCTTAACAATATTTGTGTAGGTTAAATTTTCTAATCGGAAGTATTCATTACTGTCAGATATAATAAGGGCATGTGTCCATCAGGATCTGGAGATCTCCTCCAGGTAGCTGATTCATTATTTTTAGGCCATTGCGTAGCACAGCAGACACCCTCCACAGATGTTACTGAATGAAGAAGGGAAAACAAAAGGTTAAGCATGCAATGCTTTACCTAAACTAAAACGGTATTCATTTGAGTGAGAAGTAAAATCCTCAAAGTCCTTAGATTACTTCAATCCTTACACACTTTTCATCAATAGGAATTCCAGAAAAATGAGCAAATTTGAATTCCCATCTGACTTAGCTACTAAAGCCATTAACAGAATAAAATGCAGAACAAACTTCTCTGTCCTAGGATCCCCTGTACCCAGCCAAGTGAATCCTCAAAAGTTGCTATTTCACTTTGTTTTGTCATTGCGGTACGACTTACATCCCTCAAACCATCTATAAAGAATTATAAGACATGAACAGCACTTTTACAAGTTACATAGTCTCCATAGTGACTCCATGCTGGGGTTTCCCCCCACCCCTTACAGTAATCTTTTGTAATCAAAGTAAAAAGACTTCAGTCATCTTTTGACTGGGGATTGGAGTCACATTTATGGATAGATAAAAAATGACCTATTTGTTTTCCTGAAATTCCACTGGACATAAATTTCTGATCATAGATCACCAAGGGCCTCTTTAGTCTGTAACCACACCTTGAATATACATCAAGTCAGTCAGGCATTGGTCAAAGAAAAGTCACCTAAGTGGATTTACCCATATATCCAGGTTCTGTTAAGAAAATGGCAATCCCCAAATTCCAAGTTAATAGGATAGTGGCCCCTGTAAAATTAAGTGATAACTACATGAGAAGAGGCAACCAGAAAAAAGGGAAACAAAAGAGTGGAACATGGAAAGTTGTAGATGGCGTGGGTGCCTCCCTCAGCTTGACTTCTGCCTACATCCCGGGGCTAGTGTGACTCAGCAGCCCCAGCGATGGGCTTGGATTGCTTTGGTTTGGTGGGGCTCCTGAACAGAGAAAGCTGATATAACCCAGCAGGATATACCAGCCCTGAATCACTGCATATCCCAAAGGAAAAATGACCTTGAGGAGGCCACTCTCCTCCAAGTTCCTTTTTATAAACCTCCAGAAAGATTCAGAAAGTACTGGACCAATCAAATACCACTGCGATTGCTAAATAGTGACTTGGCTGAGAACAGAGAAAGGTGAGACAGCCAAACTGCTATTTTCTTCAGGGTTCAAACTAGTCTTGGAAATGTAGCAAGTCAAAAATGATAGTTTTGCAAGTCTAGAGATGAAATAAAGCCACCTTTCCTCTGAAGAGTGACACCACCAGTGACTGCTTCCCAAGCAGCTGATAAGTAAAGCTAACTCATTGAACCATGCCATTTGTTGGCACTATTTTAAGTGCTTTACATGTATTAATTTATTTCATCCTCAAAGCAACCCGAAAAGGTAGGAATTATTATCATTCTGATTTGGTTAGTAAAGAAATGGAAACCTAGAGAAGTCAAGTAACTTGTCCAAAATTATTCGGCACACAAGTTAGGTGTGGCGGCGCACGCCCGTAATTCCAGCCACTTAGGAGGCTGAAGCACAAGAATCTCTTGAACCCGGGAGGGGGAGGTTGCAGTGAGCCAAAATCATGCCACAGCACTCCAGCCTGGGTGACAGAACAAGTCTCTGTCTCCAAAAAAAACCCCCAAAACCCAAAGTTATTCGGCACACAGTGGCTGAGCTAGGGCTCAACACCAGGTGTGGTGCGTACACATCTGCACTTCGCCATCTGCCTCGCTTCTTTTCCCTTCCCTGAAAGCTTGGAAGAGTGCCCCGTGACCAACCACAGACAGCGTGGTGGGGACAAGCAGACCGTGGTGTCTGTGTGAGACAGTGACACATTGCCCAAATTCTGGCCCTGCTAGGATGACAGTTGCTCCTGGCCTGGCTTCTCAGAGACCCTCCTCACTAGTCTCGGGACATCTCTACTAGCTGCTCTGCTCTACATAGCTTCTCAGCTGAAAGAAAATCTAAGATGACAGATTTCATGAGGGCTATGTACTGAGAGCAAACTTCAAATGAATCCTAGATGATAAAAAAGAAAACCAGAAAGAGCAGAGACCTGGCTGTATATAATGCCCTTTGTGCAACACCCAGGGAGCTTCCAGGGCAATTAGGAACATCATTTCCCCCAGGAGATTTAGTTCATAACATTTCTGGGTTGCACGGTTCGTATGTTCATGCCTTAAACCTTAAAATAGGTTTTTTCTCTATCTAATTTACCTCTTTGGTGCTGAGCTTTTTGAAGTTGCAATAAAGAAAGGATGGGGAACACATTCGCAAATGATATTTAAAAACATTGAATGAAAGAGCTTCATTCTTTGTTTTAATTCCCCTGGCATTAAAGGCCAGACATTTTTTCCCCCTGGGTATGTGGATAGTCATTGAGGTGTCTGAAATACCCAGTATATCTTACTGAAAAGCTATTTTTAAAATCACTTGATTTAGAAAACTCCAATCATGATAATTTCATGGGAATTCTTAGCACAAAAATTAAAGTTTTAAATTACTATGCAAAAATTTGTGTATTCAAATAATCTTAATTAGGAAATACCTCCATCAATGCATATATATCAGGTCTCTCTAATGTCTGTCCGTGATACAAAATTATTTTGAGGGATGTTTTGTGAGTTATAGTTCCTGTGGTCAGTAATAGCAGTAAGGATGCAATATGAGACTAGGAGTCAAAAATGTCATTTCTAGTCTTTCCTGATTCGACCACATTCAATCTCTGGGCTTGAGAATGTCATCTAACTTCTCTTAGCCTATTTCCTCACATCCGAAAGGAATAACAATTCCCACTTCAAAGTGTTGTTTCATGGGTCAAATGAAATAACGCATGTGAAAGAGTTTAATAAGCTACAAGACACTGTAATATAACATAATATTAAAGTTACAAACCAAATGTGGTGGCAGCGTGGTTCAATGAGGAAAATGCAGATATAGTCTAGCATAAAAAGCAATCAGCATGGCTGAATGCTTTACTCACTCATGACCCTGGGTGAGTCTGGCGTGGATTCTCTCATTTGAGAAATGAGAATGATTAAAAAGATCCCATCAGGATGATGTGGGGATTAGAAATAATACATGTAAGGCCTCTAGCAGGGCGTGCACACAGTAGGTATTCAATAAGTGGCACCCGTTTTACATTAAAGAATTCATTTAACCAAGCCAAGTATGCTATACGTTTCAACACTCACAACAGCTGAGTACTGCTCTACTTAGAACAGTACATCCATCAGGGGAGTCCCAAATATACTTCTGCCATGGCCAGCGCCCTGAGTTTATCCCACTTTAGACTCCAGTGGATTAAGGCTGTGCTTGCTGTATTCGCATTTCCTGCCTTAGCCCATCATTTCATGAAACTTACTAATGGAGCTTCAGTTTAAAACATAAAATGAATGCTACTCAATGTGGCACCTCCAAGTACAGGCTTTCTCCTCTCCTGCTTTTACTAGATGAACTTAATTCACTTTTTGCCACTTGCTTAAGGACAGGGGTGGGGTCTGGTAATAGGATAAGGAAAAAGCCCGAATGAATCTGCTGTTGTTATTGAGGTTGTTCAGTCTGACCAAAATAAGCAGCTTTTGAAATGAACTCCCCCGCTCCAGAGCGTCAGAGTCAGGCCCCCGTGCAGGCTCTGGGAGCGGCGAGCAGGAGAGGGGCAGGAGTTCTATCGCGTCCAGCCGTGCCCCGCCCGGGAAAACCCAGTGCCCCACGCATCAGTCACCAAGCAGAGCGCGAGTTAGAGGAGTGAACCCGGGGAAGGGCACATGCAGCTGGGTTAGTCTCAACTCGACCATGCGACTTCGCATTCCTGTTTGGCAAACGCGCTTAGGCAAAACAGACTCGATGCTTACAATGATCCCAGCCCAAAATGGAGTGTCCCTGACTAGCAGGGAGGAGCTGATGCTCGCCATGAGGAAGCCCACCACGGTCACGGCGATGCCCAGGGCCAGCTGCAGCAGGGCGAGCAGCAGCGGGAACCGGCAGCCGCAGCAGGTCCGGGGCTCCTCCTCCCCGCACTCCTTGGGGGCCCCCGTGCCCTTCTTCGGCTCCATGTCGTCGGGCCCAGCGGCGTCCGCGGCCGGCGGCCCCCCCTGCCTCTGCTGGCCGCGGGGCTGCTTGTTCTTGCCCATGGCGCTGCGAGGCTGGGTGGGTGGGTGCGTGTGCGGCGCCCTGGGCCCTGGAGCGCGGCGCACGGCTGGCTCGGCCTGCCCTGGTATTCGAATTATGGAGGCTGAACAAATATGGAAAACATTTGGAGCCGACTCACCGAGCCTCCAAAGGCCACGGGGAGCCCGCAGCAGAGGGGGATTCGAGGGGGGTCGCCAACTGCCAACGCGCCGGGACGCAGCGCCTGCTGGGCCCCAGGCAGGGTTTGCAGGTCGCCCGCGGGAACCGGCGCGGGTCCCTTGGCCGCCTGAGCCTGTGCACTTTAGACAGGCTGCGAGTGCGCGCGTGTGAGAGTGCGGGGTGTCTGTTTTCCTCACTCAAAACTCCAGGATTGTTTTGGTTTTGCTTTCTGTGAGGTGCAGTGCCACGTGATGAATGTTGAAATCGTTTGAGCTTAATTAATACACAGTTTAAACCAAAATAGGCATTGCTGGGCTCTAAGCTGCGAAGTCATTTCCAGAAGTTAAGTCGTTGTTACTTTCCTACAGAGGCACAGGCTCTCTTTTCTTTCTGCTCTCTGTAATCCAGCTGACAAACGAATACAGACATTTTTCGCATTTAGGTGTTTTTGAATCTTTCTAAAGATGTTAGAACTCTCTAATTGGGAACTCTCTTTCACATATATTATTAATTATTATTATTTTCCAAACAGGGGCTCACTGTGTTGCCCAGGCTGGAGTGCAGTGTCACCATCCTAGCTCACTGCAGCCTCGGACTCCTCGACTCAATAGCTTCTCTCTCCTCAGTCTCCCAAGTGGCTGGGACTACAGGCAATCGCCAACACACCTGGCTAATTTTTTTTATTTTTTTCATAGAGATGGCATCTCATTATGTTGTCCAAGCTGGTCTTGAACTCCTGGTTTCAAGGGATTCTGCTGCTTCAGCTTCCCAAAGTGCTGGGATTACAGACAAGAGCCACCATGCACCTGGCCTCTCACGTGTATTTGTTTTTAAAAGCTCTGTTGGCCGGGCGCGATGGCTCATGCCTGTAATCCCAGCACTTTGGGAGGCCAAGGTGGGTGGATCACAAGATCAAGAGTTCAAGACCAGCCTGGCCAACATGGTGAAACCCCGTCTCCACTAAAAATACAAAAATTAGCCAGGCATGGTGGCATGCACCTACAGTCCCAGCTACTTGGGAGGCTGAGGCAGGAGAATCACTTGAACCCGGGAGGCAGAGGTTGTAGTGAGCCGCGATCACGGCACTGCACTCCAGCCTGGGAGACAAAGCAAGACTCCTAGTTAGTCTTCACTCATCTCCACAACAGTGCTTAGGGAGATTGGATTGTCCATCTTAGAGACAGACACTTTTACTCAGTCAATATTTAAGAGTTATTTTTAAAGCACCTACAATGTGCTAAGATACAAAGATGTTCAAAATAGACTTGGTCCTGGCCCAAAGTCACAGAAGAAATCAATAAAACTGATTATTCTTATTCCCGCATACCTCTACTCAGTAGCACTTAGAGCAAATTTCAGTGAAACCACTAAAAAATGGTCCCATCACTTTGGGGGTATTTATATCTCCTTTGGTATGGTCATTGTAACATTCAGAAAGCTAGATTCAAAACTAAGTGACGTTGCCAAGATGTTAGGATAAAGGCTACTCCTAGGTTGTTCGCTATCAGCAAATTTAAAGAAAGTCCAACTCCCTGCTGTTTGCTTTAGAATTAGAAACTAATCATCATCAGCTCTTTTTGTAAACTGCCAAGTCCCCACAAAAGTAACCTTGAAGACAAAAAGTACGTACTTCATCCTTACTTATTTTATGATCTTCGGTGTTCTCCTTATGCCTTCCTTCTGGACCAGTGAGAAAAATAATGGTTCATGGAACAAATACATTTGCTTAGAAAACAGAATCTAAACCACACATCCCAGTCCCATGCAGAGGCAGTAGAAACAGCACTCACTCTCACCAGAGAAACAGAGTGGCTGAGGCAAGGTTATGGTCAGCTTTGAGGCCATCACACCACAAGGTGTTTCTATTGTGAACAGACAAACAAAATCAGGCATTACACCAAGATACCCACCTGACTTGGGCCTGACTGAGAAGAACCCAAATGACAAAACAAGAAAATGCTTGGTTTTCCCATGTAAATACAGTAAATATTTATAGAAAGTCAACTGACTATCTGGAATCAAGTATGTGTTTTTATTAGCTACCTATTGCTGAGTATTCTGTAACAAACACATGACTGGTGCTTTACATATTTTACTGTCACCCCTTATAACCACCTTATAATTATAGTTTCCACTTTTAAAGATGAAAAAATTCGAGTATCAGAATTATTAAGTAATTGGATTAAAGTCACTAACCTACTTATGAATGGGGGTAAGTGGAACCAGATGTGAACTCCAAAGCCAATGGTCTAGAGGATTAACTGTTTTATTAATTATTTCCTGTATGTATATTGCCTATAGGCAAACAAGTGGCTAGACTGTTTAAATTGTGATTTTAAACAATTTAATTGTCATGGGTAGCATAGTATCTATAACAGAGTTAATTACAAACTTAGACCTAAAGATGAGTACTATACAAAAATATCTTGATTCATCACCATAATATATATTTAATGGCCACAGGAGACCGTTATTCCATTAGTACTAGTTTATAACTAGATACAAGCTCTATTTGCTGACCATACTGCCAAACTGCCATGTAATTCGAAGTGAAACATTTTTAGCCTTTTCCTCAAAACCTTAAATTATATGTAAGTTTAAATAGTCAAACAAGATAATAGGATATTGCTGTACATTTGTCTTCTGAGTTTCACAACTAGTGGCTTACAGTTATAAAACAGTTGTACATATATTCTTTTTTAAAAAGCTTACTTTTAATTGCCTCACTGAGACACATTACAAATGAAAGCAATGTAAATGAACAACATCCCAGATGTATTGAAATTCTTCTAGTCTGATTACAAGTGCAGACTACAATTTTCAGCCTTTGGTGGTCTAGGGAAACTCACACCTGCTCCGTTTCCCAACGGCTTGGTTGAGTCTGTGTTTAAGGAGGCCTGGTCTTTGGTAACACCATGAGTTGATAGTGACGAGGATGTCATTTTCACTTAATTGATATCGGAAAGTAAAAACAAAGAAAAGTTACTGTCAAATAGTGATAGAGAGTAATCAAGGCTAAAATAGATCAGACTCTCATTACGGATACAACAAATAAAACTTCGTTTTACACGTACCTTCCACTGAGAAAAAATCATCACGTCTAGCTCATCACAGAGTTTAACAGAAATGAACCAGGTTTTTCAGTATTCATAAATTATGATGTCACCATTTTATAGGTTAAGCAATAACCTCTTCAGATATTTATATTACCGGGAAAAAAGGCACAGTAGGAACAAAGTGTTTTCGGATACTCTTGGCTGCTTCCATAATTCAAAACTGACAAAGATTGTAAATTAGAAATTGCAGAAGAGTAGTTAATATATGGTTTAGATTATTTTGATCCTCTTGGGGGAGGAAACAAAATCAAGCCAGTATCTCTATCTTTGCAGTCCATCTCAAACTTAACATTATTTTCAAGTATTTATGCATCAGAGGTTCAGAACAGGGAAGATGATAACTCTTTAAAACTAGTGTGATTAACAAAATGTCCTTAGGAAACCCAAGTAGAAATAATTTTTAAACCAACATATTCTCAAACACATGATCTCACATTCCCCAAGAACAAAAAGGGATGGAAAAAAATTATTACATTTCCAAGGTTTATATCAAGCCTTTTTCATATGTAACTAAATATATCTAAAGTGTTCAATTAGATTCGATTTAAAGAAGTATCAAATACTCTGCCGAAAACAATTAGGAATTCATTTGTGATATGCAGGCTGCTGCCCCCATATGCCTTGATGGCCTCCATACCTAAAATGACTCTAGGGATATTGCTGACCTCTGTGTGTGTATTTGTGTGTGAGTGTGTGTGTAGAACAAATTAAAACAACTCCTATTTTTTTTTTTTATTTTCTTTATTTCTATGTCATTAATTCTAAATGTGTCTTTGGGCTCATTTTTTTCTCAGCAGAATTGACCCATTTATAATTTTTGCTTGGCAGTTTGTATTTTCAAGTTAAATATCATATGGACAATGCAATCTTTATGGTCAACAAAGGGCTTATGACTTTCTCATTCTCTCTCTCTCTTTTTTCCCCTGGAGATGGGGTCTCACTATGTTGCCCAGGCTGGACTCAAACCTGTGCTCAAACAATCCTCCCAGCTCAGCTTCCTGAGCAGCTAGGACTATAGACACATGTCACCACACCTGGCTTAACTTTTTCATTCTCTGGAGAACTATAGAAATGATAAATCTCAATCATGTAATCATGCATTTCACCTATTTTTAAGGTGCTATTTATAATACCAAATTTTTCTACATGTAATTTTGATTTTTCCACTGTATATGATACTGTAGAAATAACTAACTGTATTTTAATTGAGAAACACAGGAGAAGAATGGATAAACAAATTGTGGCATATCCATACAGTGGAATACCACTTGCTAATAAGAAAAGGGGTGAACTATTGATGCAGGCAATGACTTGGATAAATCTCATTAACAGTATGCTGAGTGAAAGAAACCAGACACAAAATAATACATACTGCATAATTCCATTTATATAAAAATTTTAGAAGGCAAAATTTTAGAAGGCGTAATTTAAAAAGTGATTGTGGAGTTGGGATGAGAGAATTGTCTCGAAAAGAGTAAGAGGTGACTTTCTGGGTGATGGAAGTAAGTCTTCTGTATCTTAGGGGGTGACCACATGGGTGTTAGTTGTCAAAAGTCACTGAACAACACTTATGATCTGTGCATGTTATTGTATATAATGATATCTCAATTTTTTAAAGTAAAATAAAAGAGAAATACAGGGAGTCACTGGATGTCCCTCAGTAACTAACAATAGAACAAGTAGGAGGTTTTTTGTAAATTTAAGTTATCTCACCAAACACTCCTAATGCCTCTACTGCCATTCTAGATCCTCTGCATTAATTATCTATTGCTACAATAACAAATCACCCCAACATTTAGTGGTTTGAAACAATAATTATTATTTCATGGTTTCTGTGGGTCAAATATTCAAACAGCACACAGCAGGGATGGTTTGTTTCTTCCTGTTATCTCTT